GCGGCACTGGTCAGGCCACAGTTGGAGTACTGCGTCCAGTTCTGGGCGCCCCACTTCAAGAGGGATGTGGACAGCATGGAGAGAGTCCAGAGGAGGGCCACTCGCATGAGCAGAGCAGGCCCTATGAGGAGAGGCGACGGGACCTGAACCTGTTCAGCCTCCACAAGAGAAGGCTGAGGGGGGATCTTGTGGCCTGTTATAAACTAGTCAGGGGGGATCAGCAGGCATTGGGGGAGTCACTGTTCCCCCGAGCACTGCCAGGAGTGACCAGGAATAACGGTCACAAGCTGGCAGAGGGTAGGTTTAGGCTAGATATCAGGAGGCGCTACTTCACAGTCAGGGCGGCTAGGGTCTGGAACCAAGTTCCAAGAGAGGTGGTGCAGGCTCCTACCCTGGGGGTTTTTAAGAGGAGGTTAGATGAACACCTTGCTGGGGTCGCTTGACCCCAGTGCTATTTCCTGCCATGGCAGGGGTCCGACTAGATGATCTGCTCAGGTCCCTTCCGACCCTAGAAACTATGAAACTATGAAACACTGCAGCTAATGCTTTCTCCTGTTACATACTGAACTACAGCCTCCCAGGTGAGATTTCATAAATGGTTAACCATTGCATCTTAAAATACTCATGACAAAGGTTTACTAACTTGTTCCCCACAATTCAAGACTGGAGCAATGGCCTGTAACAGAACCAAAAGTCCCAGGCATGGCTGTAATGCCCCCTGGTGGCCTTGCAACTCTTGCACTGCTCTGGCTCTAGGGAAGGGGCGAGCAAAATGTGGTCCCCCGGGCCAGATGCGGCCCACCAGGCCATTCTATCCGGCCTGTAGGGCCCCTACAAAATTTAGAAAATTAATACTTATCTGCCCCTGGCTGCCTGTCATGCGGCCCTCGATGGCTTGCCAAAACTCAGTGAGCGGCCCTCCACCTGAAATAATTGCCTTCCCCTGCTCTAGGGTACCCTCCCTTTTCTCCCCCCTGCCATGCCTTGAGGTACTTGGTTAGATTGAAAAGGGAGGCTGCCCTCCCTTTTCATTCCTAGAGTGAGCCTTGGTATGTCTTCCTGCCAGCAGGTCCTTCTTGGACCCTGCTGATCCCTATCTACCCCTCCCATTAGGTGGATCTGTCTGGCCCATCCATGCCCCCAGGGCACCCATTGCCTTATGGGCTATTCACGGCCTCTGATTTCCCCTGCAGGCCTGCCCATAGCTCACAGGCATTTCCAATCAATCATTTCAGTGTGCTCTTGGCTTGAGTTCAGTCTCATGCCTCTCCAAGCCTCTATGTCTTCTTGTCCTGCCCTTCTCAGGCACTGGGACCTGGCCCTGTCTCTTGGCCTCTCAGATGCTGGGTCTCTGACCCTATCTCTGCCTGTCTCAGGCACTGGGCCTTTGGCCCCAGTTCCACTTCTCTAGGGCACTGGGGCCCTGATGCTGTCTCTGTCTCTCTCCCTCTGTCCCTAGGCACCTGGTCCTGGTTCTCACCCTCTCGGGCTACACTGTAGCTTGTTCCTTGCCTCTGGCAGGTTCAAACCTCACTGAGCCTCTGTGATAGTACTGGGACCTCCTCTTGCTGCTGATAGTCCTAACCCAAACCGCTGGTTAAAACTTAAATGGAAGACGTAAGCAAGCTAACTATAACTAAACACGTAGTCTACTAGCAGTATACCAAAACCTCTGCTCAGCCTGGACCCTAGTCTCCTGCCAGCTTCCACACCCTTACTTGCTGTTCTCCGGCATAGCCAGATCTCAGTTAGGCATTCAGCCACAGCCATCTCTCTGCAGAGTTCTTCTACCTTCAGTCTCCAGAGTTAGACTGACTGCTCTTAATCAGGCCCTGGGCTTATGTGTCTCATAGGCCTTGACCCTTTCTGGTCATGTGGCTTCCCCAACCAGCTACTTGCAGGTTTTTTCTACTTAGGCTTGGCTTAACTCCAGGGCAGCTTATTGTTGCTGCCTACCTGCTGTAGCAGTGTTTTGTCTCCTATGCATGGCTCCACCCTGTTATACTATTACAGAGCAGCCAGCCCTGCACTATGCACTCATAACCTATAAATCCCTGGGGAGCTGCTGGTCTGTACCTCATAAGGAATGGGCTTCCCCACTTGAGGCTCCTACTGCTGCTGTTTTTCCCTTAAAGTAACAGGAGCCCCAGGCTAGGGGTGTGCAAAATGGGCTGTATTCGATTTGGATTTGGATTTGGCCTGAATTGGGGACAGTGATTCGATTCATTGATTTGGATCACTGCCCTGATTCAATTCAGCTGAATCCAAATCTGAAGATACAATGATGATTTGGAGAATCATCTATTTGGCCATAGACACAGCTTTAAATGTTTTATCTGCATACCTCGAGGTACCAGGCACAGCTTGTGAATGCTAAGATGGTGGGGCAGATGCAGCATTCCACAGGAGTGCGGGAGGCCCTGCCATGTGCTTGGCAGTGAACCCGGAAGTGGACCATAAGTACTTCTGGTCCACTTCTGGCTCCACCACCGAGAGCACATGGGACCTCCCTGCACCCCCCCGACTCAACAATTGGTTGCAGGGGGACCCTGGGTGCCCACACAGACCAAGAAGGCACCAGTTGCCGAGCCAGGGAGTTGGGGGAGGGTCCCCTGCGTGCTCCCTGGTGGACCTGGACATAGACCAGAAGTGCTTCTGGTCTACTTCCAGGTCTGCTGCTGAACAAGTTGGGGACCCCCCTGCGCTCCTGTGGAACACTCCATCCACCCCAGAATTTCAGCATTCACAAGCTGCTGGGTACCTTGAGGTATGTAGAAAAAACATTTAAAGCTGTGTCTATGTCCGAATCATTGAATCTCTCTGAATCTATTTGGAGGGTTCCGATTTGGTTCGGAGAGATTAAAGGGTCTCTTGATTTGATCTGGATTCGGAAATTTGGCCACCAAATTGGGCCGAATCTCTGCTGAATCAAATCAGTGACCGAAGTTTCGCACAGTCCTACCCCCAGGCCCACTGTTATATGGCCTTGTAGAAGTTGCTGCTTCTTTCTAGAGAATAATTTATATGGATGCAAAATGAAACAGCTGGAGCTAATGACTCCTCAAGCTGCCTGTACAACTATGAAGACAAATGTTATTTGAGTGGAGGACCTTGAGATCAGCAAGGCACTTCAGTATGGGCTCAAGTCTTATTGGCTAGGGACAGAAGCTACACATAAAATAGTTTAAGTAATCAGAAACTGGGTTAAACCTGTAACAAAACATAAGTTCAGTGCACATAAACCAGTTTCAAACTGCCCAAAACTGGTTTAAGATAAACCTGGCTGAATGTATCATCAGACTTAACTGATTTGGGTCAAACTGGTTTACGCAACTTTTGTCCCAGACCCCTTCCTGGTTTAAGTTAAACCAGAGACCCCCAGCATCCCAGCATTCTCTGCAGCCCTGAGCTGAAATGGGTTCTTTGCTCCAGACAGCAGGGCTGGCCCTGCCCCTCTGCTCAGGAGTGGGGACAGAGGCGTGGCCTGGTATGATCCCCTGAGGCCAAGGCAGCAGAGAGGGTGTTTAATCCCCCACCTCCCAGTGGGGGACTGCAACCAGGGTCCATCTTGCTGGGGTGTAGCAGCCCCTGTCAGGCATTCCCCATCTCTGCTCAAGCAGTGACAAGGGAGGGAGGGGGCGGGGCAT